TGATTTCCATAGGATGGGAAATCTTGCCAAATTAATTCAGAAACTAGATGTCAGGGGCACCTGGGTGCCTCAGTCGTTTAAGCCTCTGCCTTAGGCTCAGGTCATGATCGAGCCCCGCATCTTCAGCAGGAAGCCTGCTTCTCCCTCTCCCACTCCCCCTGCTTGTGTTTTGTGTTCCCTCTCTCACTGTGTCTCTCTCTGTGGAAGAAAGAAAGAAAGAAAGAAAGAAAGAAAGAAAGAAAGAAAGAAAGAAAGAAAGAAAGAAAGAAAGAAAGAAAGAAAGAAAGAAGGAAGGAAGGAAGGAAGGAAGGAAGGAAGGAAGGAAGGAAGGAAGGAAGGAAGGAAGGAAGGAAGAAAGAAAGAAAGAAAGAAAGAAAGAAAGAAAGAAAGAAAGAAAGAAAGAGAAAGAAAGAAAGAAAGAAAGAAAGAGAGAGGGAGAAAGGGAGGGAGGGAGAGAGAGAGAGAGAGAAAGAAAGAAAGAAAGAAAGAAAGAAAGAAAGAAAGAAAGAAAGAAAGAAAGAAAGAAAGAAAGAAAAGGAAAGAAAGAAAGAAAAGGAAAGAAAAGAAAAGAAAAACTAGACGTCAGTTACAACACACCCAAAAGTGCTGCTTCTGGGAACTTTGTAGTTTAATTTTTAGCAGTGATTTTTATCACAGGCTACTGGGAGCATTGTGAAATGGTTGATTGAAATGTAAAAAGATGGGCCAAAATCCATTGTTGGAACAGTGGGAGTCGAGAGCCAGGAACTCAGGGATATTGAGTCCTTCCAAGAAGCTTGAACCATGGAATACAGGAGCCAATGGCCAACCCCCACTGAAACTCACCAACTCTTTACTACAGTGAAGCTTCTTAAGAGTAGTCAGAGAGCTCCAACAATCACAGTTCCTTCGGCATCAAATAAATCTTGCTTGAGAAGGAAATTTAGAGAAGCAAACATAGAATTTTATGAGGCCTGATTAATGTATTTATTTCAGTACATTTAGGTCATAAAATTATCATTGATCTGAATGCTCTGGAACATAAACACAACAATTCATGTCTATTTTGCCTCAACAGCAGACTCACTTTGGGTTACAAGGCCCAGATCTAGTCTGTGCTTGTTATTTCAGACTTGAGCACCAGTCGGTTATGTATGCACAGTCCTAGGACAGATGCCATTTGGATAGTGATTGGCAACTGCTGAGACTTCTACTACCTAGAAGCGTTGATGGACTGGCTACCAAAATATCAAAACATTTTCTGGGAATAATTTAGTTACACCTAAGATAGCAGAGAGGAGTAGCATATTAGCTGTAGGTCACCTGTCCTGGATTTTTTTTTATGCTTTTGGGTAATTTGTGTTTTTTTCTCCATAAGAAGCAGAAACTTAATCTTCCTGTTTACTTTTTATTAAAAATAATAATAATAATAATTTGCATTCCATGAGCCCAGACCAACAAATAGGGATGGTGGTTTGATAGAATACTAGATGTCAGAAGAAAATAAGTCAATCACTGAATTTTAAATTTGATCTCCCCTCTCCCCGCCAAAATCACAAACCGATCTTCACATCAAAGTTGGTTTCTTTCACCAATTCTGACACAGAGATTTTAAATCCTACACTTTTTTATTTTAATTTTATTAAAAGTGGAAAAGGGGTAACAAATCATCTGTCAAAAAAACTAGGAGACTCCATAGAGCCAAAACAATCGTGTAAAGGACAAAACTGGAGTTCTCACACTTCCTGATTATATAACTTACTGCAAAGCTACAATAATGAAAACAGTATGATTTTGACAAGGGTGGCAAGACCATTCAATGGGGAAAGGGCAGTTTTACAACAAATGACACCAGAAAAACCGGCTATCCACATGCCAAAGAAAGAAGTTGGACCATTACCTAACACCATATACAAAAATTAACTCAAAATGGACCAACGACCTAAATGTAAGAACTGAAACTATAAAACTCTTAGATGAAAACACAGGGCAAATGCTTCACAACACTGGATTTGGCAGTGATTTCTTGGATATTGCACCAGAGACACAGGCAACAAAGGAAAAGATAGACAAATTGGGCTTCATGAAAATTTATAAATTTTGTGCATCAAAAGCAAAAAAACAAACAAGCCAATTAAAAAATGGGCAAAGGACTTGAATAGACATTTCTCCACAGGAGATATACAAATGGCCAATAAGCATATGAAAAGATGCTCAGCATCACTAGTCATTAGGGAAATGCAAATCAAAACCCCAATGAGATACCACTTCACACCCATTAGGATGGCTATTTTTTTTTTTTAAAAGATAGTAATAAGTGTTGGTGAGGATGTGGAGAAGTTGGAACCCTTGTGCATTGCTAATGGGAATATAAAATGTTTCCGTGCAGCTGCTACGGAAAACAGTATGATGATTCCACAAAAAAACTAAAATAGGATTACCATATGATCCAGCAATTCCACTTCAGGGTATATACCCAAAAGAAGTGAAACAGGGACTTTCACAGATATTTGTATACCCATGTTCATAACAGCTTTATTCACAATAGCTAAAGGTAGAAGCAACCCAAGTGTTCCTCAGTGGATGAATGGATAAACAAAATGTGCTTTGTACCTACAATGGAATATCATTCAGGAAATTCAGGGGTGCCTGGGTGGTGAAATCAGTTAAGAGTCCGACTCTTGGTTTCAGCTCAGATCATAGGCCCTGCATTGGGCTCTGTGCTGAGCAAGGAGTCTGCTTGTGTTTCTCTCTCCCTCTCCCTTTGCCCCTCCCACTCGTGCTTTCTGTCTCTCTCTAAAATAAATAAATCTTAAAAAAAAAAAAAAGGAAGGAAATTTTGACATCAGCTACAATGTGGATAAACCTTGAAGACATTATGCTAAATGAAATAAGCCAGTCACAAAAAGACAAATACTATATGATTCCACTTATATGAGAGTCCTGGAGTAGTCAAATCCATAGAAACAGAAAGTAGAATGGTGGCATCGTCAGGGACCAGTGGGGAGGGGAGAATAGAGAGTTATTGTTTAATAGGTGCAAAGTTTTAGTTTGGAAAGATGAAAACAATTCTGGAAATGGATGGTGATGAGAGTTGCACAACAATATGAATGTATTTAATGCCACAGAATAATCTAATTAAAAATAGCTAAGGTTGGGATACCTGGGTGGCTCAGTCAGTTAAGTGTCTGCCTTCGGCTCAGGTCATGATCCCGGGGTCCTGGATCGAGTCCCACATCCACCTCCCTGCTCAGCAGGGAGCCTGCTTCTCCTTCTCCTCCCTGCTCGTTCTCTCTCTCTCTCTCTCTCTCTCACTATCTCTCTCACTATCTCTGTCTCTCTCTCTCAAATAAATAAAATCTTTTTTAAAAAATAGCTAAAATTATAAATTTTGTTATGTATATTTTATAACAATAAAACAAAAATTAGAAACAGACACCAGCAATAATAAATGGATGAATTGTCAAAAAAAATTAGGAGGAGGGCGCCTGGGTGGCTCAGTCGTTGAGCGTCTGCCTTCGGCTCAGGTCAAGATCCCAGGGTCCTGGGGTTGGGCTCCCTGCTCAACGGGAAGCCTGCTTCTCCCTCTCCCACTCCCCCTGCTTGTGTTCCTGCTCTCGCTATCTCTCTCTCAAATAAATAAATAAAATCTTAAAAAAAAAAAAATTAGGAGGAATTTAAATGTCCAAAAATAGAGGAACAGGAATGGTTACTTAATTACAATAACCCACTCAGTGGGATATTTATGGAGCCAGTAACACTTATTGATGGTGGCAACATGTAAAATGCCTATGGTATAGTGTTAAGTGGGAAGGAGGTAAAATTGTCACATATTATGATTGCAACTATAAATATATCTAGTGCAAGGATAAAACCTAAAAGGAAATATCAAAATGCTTTAAAAATTTGCATTAGAGTGATGAGATGACTGCTTTTTTTGGTCTGTTTTCCAATTGTTTTTGAAAGTAGATATAATAATCTTTAATGGAAAATGTATAATCAAAACTGAAAAGAAGGAAAAAAAAGAAAAAGCTTTTCAATAATTATTATTAAAACTCAATTTTAGTTATTATTTATAAAATCCAGAAGGCTGGATATTTTTGAGGCTTTTACAAAGTAATATAAATACCGAGGATGTAAGTAACTGAGGTTCCTAGAAAACTCTTGTTCAACTCTAGCCTCAGAAACTACTTGAGGATTTGGGTCACTGAGCAGAGGACATGGAAAATGAATCTTTGAAGAAAGAAACTTTTCAAGGACTGTCATATGTTTGACACTTCCCAGAGGCAGAAACTGCATGTTCAGAGAGATGCCTTTCTAGGTTAAAGCAGACTCACAGCATGGTAAATAGAGAGCCTTTAAAACTGCTCTCCCAGGGGCACCTGGGTAGCTCAGTGGGTTAAGCGTCTGCCTTCGGCTCAGGTCATGATCTCAGGGGCCTGGGATCGAGCCCCGCGTCGGGCTCCCCGCTCAGTGGGGAGTCTGCTTCTCCCTCTCCCTCTGCCACTCCTCTGCTCATTCTGTCTCTCTCTCTCGTTGTCTCTCTAAATAAGTAAATAAAATGTTTTTTAAAAAACTGCTCTCCCAAATGAGGCAGTGACTGCTTCTAAGTGGGTTATACTCAAAACTTAACTCTGCATTCATGTTTGTCTGGCTTCCTTGCCATCAGCTCATTGTCTTCAGCAAGTTTCACCTCTAACCCCATCCCACCACCCACTCAGGAAGAAGAATCAGAATGAGAAGGAATTGGGTTCAGATGGGGATGTTTGCTCTTTAGAAGAGAGGCACAGGGTGGGAGCAGGTGGGTGACTGTTCGCAGAACAGAAGCTGCAGCCACACCTCAGGTTGCTCAGCTCCTTCGTAGACTCTCCATGACCTCCCGCTTAGAACAGCTCACAGTGTCAGCTTCCTGGAAGATGGGGAGCAAGGGGAACCTGAAGAAGATGTTCCTTCAGCACCACAGTTTGCTTCTTTTTCACCCTGTGCCACTTTGGACTGTTCTGTTCTCTCATCAATCGTAGGTGGTTCGAGATCAGATCTCTCACTGCACAGTGAAATTGCGCCAGACCACAGGTCTCATGGAGTACTGCCTGGAGGTCATTAAGGAAAATGATCCTAGTGGCTTTTTGCAGGTAAGTGTCAACTAGTTTCCACTTCAGATTCTCAATGTCCCATGAAACTCAGTCTACAACGCCACAACCAGACTCCCAGCAGCCCTTGCTGAGCATGGGTCCCTCCACAATGGAACCCACTTTCAGGCTGCCATGTATATGTGGGCACCAGCAAAACTCTGCTAACTTCCTGGAAGTCTCTGCCACCATGTGCTACAAGATTGAGAAGTATATGGGCTTCTTAAAATTTGTTTTTGTTCATGTTTAATCATGAAAATGTAATTCCCTGTAAGTTCCTCCAAAGCAGAGTTACTGCCTTGCCTAAGAATTGGGTCCCTTTCCACTAATATCTTGGACAGCTTTGTCAGCTAGAAATGTCTAAATATGCAAGGCTTCTACCTTCTTGACAGTTCCTACTGGCCAGTGATTTCCCAAATTGAAGTTTTTTCATTCCTTGGATTTCTCATGATTTTTTCAATGTTGATTGTTTTAATGAGATGTGATGATGTCAGCTGAATTTTACTTATGTTTTGATCTCAATGATTAAGGGAGATTTTATTAAGGAATACATAGATTCCTTCCAATTCATGTTTTATCCAACTGGCCAAGAGTGACAAAGGGAGATTAAATATAAGAAATGGAAGAGTTCTCTATCAAAGAATAAAGTGATACAGAAGATGACAGGCTTAAAGTGTAAGAAATTCCACTTTTACAGATTACCATATGCAGCCTCTCTAAACTATTTTATAGAACTCCTTCCAAGGGTTGACAAAATACCCACACCTCCTATTAGAAACTTAGGGTTGTTAGTTCTACTAGGATTAACAGATCACCAAAATATTATTTAATGTTGTTGGCTTTTAGTTGATTAGTCATAAATATTATTAGCATAGGCAGGTTTATCTATTAGAGCACTTTACAGCTGCTAATTATATAGTGGCTCCCTCCGACTCACGAAAGCACCCAGATTTGCACGGGTGACCCTTGTCATAATAGGCTTCTCACTGCCTACATGGAGATAGGAAAGGTGTGAGTCCCAAAGTGGTTTGGTAATGCTCCTGGAGAGTGTAGGAGCAGGGTTCTGTGTCCAGTGCGGTATTATATTTCTTAGGCTGTGGTCTTTGATGTGATTAGATTTCTGACGCCCTCATAAGGAGAGTGCACCTGACTGAGGACCAGTGGGGGAAAGGCACGCTCACTCCCAGGATGACCACGGACTTCGACCTGAGTCTGGACAACAGCCCTCTACTGCAATCCATTCACCAGCTCGACTTCGTGCAGATGAAAGGTGTGTGCCTGCATCCCCCCCAAATAGAGCAACATCCCGAGTGGATACTGATGCTTGAAGCAGGATTGTGGCTTTGTGCCAGATTGCAGCAAACAAAAGGCAGCTAGCAGGTTTATAAATCACCTAAGAGGCGGGGAAGTAAATGCACATACACATCTGGTTAATGGTACAAAAATCTGGAGTGGCTCCTAGCTTATCACATAGAAACGTACCATTGTAGCCATGTGACCTACCTCTCAGAAAGCCAGATAAATCCAGATAAACTCAAGGCTTGCCTCCTTAAGAGTCTTAGAGATGTCACAAGCCAACATCAGGGAATAGCTGACATAAAAAAAGATAAGGAGATCACTGTACATAAATAAAATCTTGTTACAGAAAGTAACCCAGAAATATTGATATAAATCAAGGCAGTTCAGAACTGAAATGACTACTTCCACATGGATAGGTGGTGAGCAAATGGTTGAGCATAAATCAGTGGGAATTTGAGAGGATTAGAGTTGACTTGCCAATACTGGTTAGGAAAATGCAAGCCTGGTTACAGAAGGAAAATGAAGATTTGAAATAAATTTTAACTTTTTTAAAAATTAAATGTGATTTATGTGATTAAGGGATATGCAAGATCTCTTTGAGACTTTTTGGGTGGCTGGGGGAAGTGCAAGAACCTAAAATTATCTTAAGGAAAATAACTCTTTCAAAGAAAAATAAAAAACCAAACATGCAACGATCTTTTCATGGCAGTGTAAGTAATATCCATTGGAAAAATATTCTTTTTTTAACCTTCATTTTGAAATATTTGTACATTCACAGGAAGTTGCAAAAATAGTAAGGAGAGGTCCAGTTACCCTTAGCCCAGTTTCCATCATTGGTTCCATCTTGCATAACTATCATCTTACATCAAAACCAGGAAATTAAGGGCACCTAGGTGGCTCAGTTGGTTAAGCATCTGAGTCTTGATCTCAGCTCAGGTCTTGATCTCAGGGTTTTGAGTTCAAACCCCACATTGGGTTCTACACCCAACGTGGAGCCCACTTAAAAAAAAACACACACACACACGGGAATTAACTAACATTGGTACAATGTATACGTATCACTCTGTGCCATTTTGTCAGGTGTGTAGAGTCATCTAACCATGGCTGCAGTCAAGCTACCACCATAGAGACCTCCCTCATGCTATCCCATCATGGTCATATAGTCATACCCACATCCCTCCCCTCTGCCATCATCAGTCCCTGGCAACCACCTATCTGTTCTTCATTTCTGTAATTTTGTTATGTTCTAATCTTTTTTAAAATTGAAGAAATTGATTTGCTCTTTGCTTCTCCCAATTTAAGCAGCCACATAAAGGACTTAGAATTTAGTGCTTTAAAATTTTTGTTTTTTAAGAAAAATCTACATGCTTCCTTTTATCAGACAGAGAGAAGCACCTAACCCAGCAAGTCTTAGGGCTCTGCACTTATGAGTCACATCACATAGCTAAACTCATCCGTGTACCCAGGTACCTCTCTCACCCCTTTAATGGATTTTTGCACTTTTATTTTCACTTTTCTTATTTTTTGTTTGTTATGTATTGCTTTGGGATGTTGCCTTAATTGATTTTTGGAGTAGAGAGTATATAGATTGTTAATAAAAGTACTTCGTTGCCGTAACAAAAATGTTTAGCATTTTCCTGACTGTTTACCAAACCAGATACTCTCCTAAGTGCTTCACGTGGATTAATTCAATTTATTCTCACAGCCCTAGTAGGTATCTAGGGAAACTGAGGCACAGGAAAACTGGATAAGTTGCCTGAATTCACACAGCTAGTGAATGTCAGGGCAGGGGTTCAAAGCCAGGAAGCGAAGTTCCCGACACTGCACCTACAACTTCCGGTTTGTGCTAAAACATTAGTGTCTTATGAACTGGCTTCTTCGAGGAATAACCGAATTTCCTCTCTTAAACTTAAGAAATTTAACTTTTTGTTGCAGCACGTCTTTCTTGCTGTTATAAATGTTTTCTTAAACACCCCCACGGTGGTCTGTGAAATACAGCCATCTGAGTAATATATGGAGCCCCAGGTAAATCTCCCTCAATCAGCCTCTCTCTGGATCCAGTTCTCTCAATGAGGTAAAATCATTGAAAGGTCATGTCACAAATAGCTCAGAGGAGAAAATACATCGCAAAAGGGCAATGGAAGGGCTTTTGGTGGAAGGGGAAAAAAAAGGAGCCAACCCAATTAGCCTTGGTGATGCAGCAGGTAGAGGGGAAAAGCCTCGGGGCTTTGAATTGCTTTCAGCAGCTGACGGATCCCTCTCCTCCCCCATTTGCTGTCCTTCTGAATCATGTCCATCTGCCCAGAGTGGAGTCCAGGCCAGTTGGCAGGAGGGTAACAATTGTGTTGGAATGAAGAGGCCCTTCATCTGGTATGGGAACTGCAGGCTCACGTGCTGGGCCTCACAGACCCTGTTCCTAAAGCAGTGTCACTTGGCCGCTTCAGGCTGCCCGCAGACGTATGCGTGAACATGGCTGTGTGTCCACTCCACCAAAGTCTGTACACGTGGCCGAGAATGCCACACGCTCTCAAGGCCAAGACGCAGAACACACTCACAGCAAAAGTTCAGCCGGAACACAAAATGATCCCAAACAGATATTTACGAAGTTCATCTCATAGGCCATTTGGGATGAGACTGGATTATTCCATTTTCCTTTTCTTTTTAACACTTCATATTAATTTCAGTTACTGCTGATTAGTATCCTTCTGCAGAGTTAATTTATATGCTTTGCTTTGTGCTCGTTAAGTTTAATTAATTCAGTGAGAGACAAGTACACTTTAGACACTGAATAATTTTTATCTGTCAGATGTTTTTGATGGAAAGGAAAAGCCAAAAGGTCATGACACAACAGAACTTGACTGGCTGTAGTTAAGACTACTCCTACTGGCCTCTTTGATAGCTGTTAACATACACAGCTGGGCTGGGTGTAGTGTTAGTGTTTTTCCATAGGATATGCTTGGTCAGTTTAATACACTGCACTTTCACAGCTTGTCAGTAAAAATATCTCAAGAAACCGTACCCCCAAATCCACATAAGAATGGCCAAAATTTAAATAGCATTGGGAACAGTGCTAAAATAATCTGACCATTAATATAATACATGTACTTCAACATATGTTTCCTAATTATGCTAAGCAGATTACAGTAGAAAGTTAAAATATTTTCAAAGCTACTTAAAATACGCATTTAAAGTTCTGACTCAAACTAACAACAAAAATACCTGTTCATTCTTAACTGGAAATTCTAGCATCTCTCTGGTTTTGGAATTTCATCTCAGGTGCCTTTTTCTTTTCTTGATATCAAAGAAGATAGGTCTGTTACTGGTTTTTAAACTATTACCACTCAGCTACTACTCAGCAAGAAAATTATTCTCTTATGAGCGAAGGATTTAACTGATCTGCCCTTTCTGATTCTGCATCACCCTCAAGCAACTGAAATCTAAGTGGAAAATGCTGGTACCTTTGTTCAAACAGCCCCAGAAAAATATTATCCCAGAATTGTTTTAAGTATAGACAATTCCCAAGATTCATGAGTCAGTGCTGAGAAGAAATGCCAGCATGTTCATTCTGAACCAGGATATGACACAGTGACCGAATGCTCCCCGAAGCCTTTTTAACACATAAACCAATGGCTGTTAATCCCTTAAGTGCCTCTAGTCACCTAAGAACACATTTATCTTTATGAACTCATGTCAAATGTAAGAGCCCTGAGTATGCACCAAGGTCATGGGCAAGGTCGGTGTGATGTGAACAGACCCTCTTATAAATCATAGAGAAAGAGCACCCAGGGGTTTGGCAGGGATGGGGATGAGCACACACGCTGACTCGCATGTCATCTGTTCATGCACATGATCCGTTCATGGTTTGGAGACCTGCAATGCATGTCCTCAAAACCCACGTTCACATTTCTCTGTAACAGTGTACTAATGAGAGCTTTGCAGAAACGGCTTGTTGTTCTCTAAAGTATAAACTTTCCTAAGATGCCACTGTGTTGTTCAGCCGCCACAAAAAGGAACGACGGTCCACCAGGGAACATTTAGACAAGATGACTCAGGAGAATTGCATTCTCAACCACCATAGCTCTTGTGGTGAAATATTTCTTTCTTTTCTTTTCACAATTTTTAAAGTATGGTTGACACCCAGTGCGTCACACGCGTGTCTACACTGTGTGCAGACAACACAGTGATTCGATAAATCGATGCATTATGCTATGTATGGTGAAATATTTTGTTAATCTATACCAGCAAGTCTCGGGGAACTTTATCACTCACATTACAGGAAGCAAAAGGAAACATGCCTCTTGGAATGAGGTGTGGGGACTTCCCTCCAGTTCACTATTATCACACACCCGGGCTGGAGAGGCAGCATGGTGCAAATATGCACACAGCCCCTGGGGCCGGCCTGCTGGGCCTTGGACGCCGGCTCCGCCCTGGAGTAGCTGTGAAAATTGTTTCCATTTCCTCATCTACCAACTAGAGCTGATAACAGCACTTGTTCTCGTGGTGGGTGCTGTGAACATCACGTGAGTGACGACATGTAGAACCTCTCAGCACACTGCCAGGCACTCAAAAAGCACCACCCACCATTAGTTTCCACGCCCAGGGTGGGAGGCCGTGTGTCCTTACATGTCCCCGCCACACTCTTGGGACCTTTCACAGAGGAATCCCTCAGCGTGGTGAGTGTTGACAATCGGCAGGATTTGGGAAAAAAAATTAAATGAGTACAAAAAATGTAAGCTATACTTTGAACGAGAATGGCCTTTAAAAAGGTAAGACATTTGAAAACTTTCAGAAGACACTGTTGCAGAATTTAATTTTGAGCTGAGGCTCGAGTCCCCTGCAAGGAAGTCGGTAAGAACGGTTGCCCCCTGCAACTAAGGAGAGAATTATTAGCCTGAAGCTTGATATTATGGGCCAAAAGAATGCTAAGCAATAGACTTCTGATCAGGTCAGGAGAAACTGGTTCTTTAGGAAAAACAAAGACGTCCAAGAATGGTGGTGAAAGTGTTAAGATTAAGACAGCTACGGCAGCTCAATGACAGAAGTTTCAGTAAAATAAAAATTTCTTAGAGTTCAGCCCAGGAACTGTGATGCCACCCATTTCCAAAACACAAATAATAAGTTGATTTGAAAATACTTTGGATTCTTATAGACCATTTATTTTATACCTAATAAAGTGAAATAGGATAACATAACACCCACTATAAAATCCGTTTTTCTAAAATGTCAGCCTTAGTCTTTGTCGAAGATGCTGTAATTTTGTCACATTTGCCTTTTATAGGCCACGTCACTTTGGGGTAAATAAGGAAACAGAAAAAATAATTCTGAGCACATCAAGAAATAGATTTAGACATGTAAATGTCTCTATAGTCCTTCATTTTCGTTTCTCTCTCTCTCTCTTTCCCTCCCTCTCTCTCCATTCTCTCTCCCTCCCTCATTTCACTTTTTTGTTTGTTTAATTTAAGTTCTAGACAATATTAAAATCTGAAGATTATGAGTGGTTAGACTTTTTATTATCTTTTTGGTCTTTTAAAGTGTATCCACTGAGGACTTACAAATGAAGTTCCCATGTTTTAATTACACATGACACCATGTATTTCAATTAATCTGTTAATTATACCTATGCCTATACAAGGAAATTTGAGTTTCTTATCTAAGACATTGCAAGCATTTGCATGATTCAAGTTGAAACCATCTTGTGATCTTATTCTTTGATTTTAAAATTGATGAAATGTAGACTTGCCTGAGACATGAACAAAGGGAAAATGAAGATTGATGGGGGAGCTAATGAAATAAAGAGAGTCCAAGGAATAGGTTGTTTTATGGTAGGTTCTGATTCATAAGGACAGCTCAGAGCAAATATCCCCGGGGAGAATCATTCCATGTCTCTAGAAGCCCTTTGAAGAATGGTTTGCTTAAACTCATCATAATTTACTCCATAGTTAATATGTTAAAATTTATTATTTTTATAAGGGAAAAATGTTTAATGACCAAGTGGTTTCCTAATACGTGATGACCTGAGGTTAACCCTCCAATTACAACTCTTAGGTGATGCCTGTTTATGGATAGATGATCATTAAGAGTAACGTCTTCTCTCTCCTCCCCTTCCCATCCGATCCTGTAGTCTATTTCTTGAACAAGGCAATGAATCTATCTCCTTTCCTCCAATTCTAGATGTTCGGGGACCTCTGAGGCTATAGAAGCCACTCTTCTCTCATAAGACCAACTGAACCCTATGCCATTGAAATCTGAAACATGATTTCCGTCCCTACACTCACTACCTCCAATTATCTGGTCATAATTTTGATTTTGTTATGTTTGCCTAGTAACTCCAGCATGGTCTTCTTTTTTTTTTTTTTTTTGTATTATGTTATGTTAATCACCATACATTACATCATTAGTTTTTGATGTAGTGTTCCATGATTCATTGTTTGCGTATAACACCAGCACTCCATGCAGAACGTGCCCTCTTTAATACCCATCACTAGGCTAACCCATCCTCCCACCCCCATCCCCTCTAGAACTCTCAGTTTGTTTTTTAGAGTTCATCGTAATTGTCCAGCATGGTCTTCTTGTATCAAAGTCTTTTCTTAAGCATAATTGACCTGCCTCACCTTCGCATCTCTTGTGTTCTGATCACTGCTATTGCTCTTTAGCTTATCCACCATAGAACCTGTTTCCTAAACTGCTATTAAATATACCATCTTTGGGGTTGAGGTGATGGCAGGGAGCAGATAATTTGATGAATGACACAGAGTCCAATTTCGGTACAGCATGCCAGGTGTTCCATAATTAACATTTGTTCGTTTAAATGTCCCTGGATGCGGCCCAAACTGTTCTCTCCTGTTGTTAAAGTGCTACAAAAATAAATTAATGGTTTGGTGCTAAAAAAAAAAAAAAAAAAAAATTTTAAACAGTTGGTAAAAACACTGCTCCCAAATACATACATTGAGTTCATATGTTAGGAACTGGGATTGTTCGGTACCTAACAGTTCTATGTCTATGTGTCTGAAGGCTCAACCGCTCTGCAGTTTGAAGTAATAGAAAAGACCCCCAGCACAAAATGGGGACAGGGGCATGTTGTGACCAGTAACACTGTGGCAGATTCTCGCCAAGTCACAAGGACACCTTGACCCTCCCCTGCTGGGCCCCTTCTGCTCCCATACTACTCTCCAGGCTCACAGTTGGCTGTTCTGCACCTGCAGAGAGTGGACCTGGGCTAGCATAGCTACCATGAAAGAATGAGGTCAAGTTCCTCAGAAGTTTTGAAATGGAGAAATCACTGTTTTTATGTCCTTTGGACTAAGTTCTCAAAAATCCACTGTTGCAGCTACTTACGTGCACAAGACCTTGAGTAGAATCACTGGTAAAACAAACAAACTGCTCAGAATAGGCAGTTCCAAGTTTATACACTGGGGGCCAAGGCTCAGAATAAATTTTATGATACATTTTTCAGCCATGTTATGGGTTACATGGGCTTTAGTGGGCTGGGCTGGAAACCCATCCCACATTAAAATAGTTCCCTGAAGTATGATGTCTTCGGTGCTCAAGGGGGTGAGAACAGAGCAATTGTCTCCCCAACAGTTAAGGTAAGAAGTGCCACCACGAGTTTGGGAAAAGGCAGCACAGCAGCTCAGGACCCAGTCCCACTCCTAGAGACTCTGGAAGGGATCCAGTTCAGGTCCCCCATGGGCTAGCTACTTAGTCGAGCCACGTGTTGATCAGGGGGATGTTTCTCATTCCAAGATCCTGAAATGTTCGCAACTCAGCAGAAGCCAGGGTTACACTAATTTCTGTTTAGCTTCCTCTCCAGTCCCAGCAACCCCCATCCTGCAGCTGGAGGAGTGCTGTACTCACAACAACAGCGCCACGCTGTCCTGGAAACAGCCACCCCTGTCCACGGTGCCTGCCGAAGGCTACATTCTGGAGCTGGATGACGGCAATGGTGGTCAGTTCCGGGTAAGTAGAGCATCTGCTACTTGTTAACCAAAGCCAGGGACCACCTCAGAGGACCCATTGTGGGGTCTCAGGCCAAGCTTCCCCACCTCTCCTGAGGCCAGACCATCCTGGCAGGGTCTGCCTGCCCTTCAACTGAGGCCTGCATTCTCCTTGAACCGTCAAAGATGGACAAAGGAGTCTCTGAATAGAAACTGCCCTCCCCTTCTGAAGAGAAGGCCCATGCAGGCCACAAGCTCTGCAGTCCAACTGCTTGCACTCAGATCTGGACTCCACCATTTAGCCATGTGACTGCCCATTTTTCATTTCTTTGAGCCTTCAGGACCTCATTTGTAAAATGGGGGTGATATTAACACATACCACATGCATTGTTGTTAAGAGTCAGTTAGATAATCCATCATATAAAATTCTTAGCATGCCAGGATCCCAGACCCCAATCTGGTTAGTATCCCACCAGAGAGTTATCATTTTAAGGCTGTGCTTTGAATAAAAATTATTTTTACTCATTACATCAGCATAATGTTGCAGAAGCCTACAGCTAAAGAGGGAGGCACATGCCTAACCTATGCTAAAGATGCATTATGCTACAATTTATTTTAAGCCTTTGAAATGTCATTCTTCCTCCCGCCCCTGTTTCCTCCCCCTTCCCTCTGCACCACGATAAAACCTATACTCCTGTGACTCTGAGTGTAATCTTTGTGACAGTTCCTAAAGTTACCAGTGGAGTTATAGACACAGCATAGTGGTCCCAACCACCCAACCAGTTTTTACAAATCATGCTGATGGATAAAGAGCTCGGTAGATATAATAATATATGTGTAAATGCCAAATTAATAATAATAAGCATAATGCTAACTATAAGCACCCAATTTTAATTTTTTAAACCCTAACCACTAGTAATTACCATTCATTAAGGTACCAGGCCCACGCTAAATATAAGGTACAATGTTCAACAGTTTGCACACATGACCTCCTTATATGATCATCCTAGCAACCTCATAAACTGGGTATTATTGTCCCCATTTTACATATGAGCAAACTGAGACTTAAAAAGGTCAATTAGGGGGGCGCCTGGGTGGCTCAGTTGGTTAAGCAGCTGTCTTGGCTCAGGTCATGATCCCAGGGTTCTGGAATCGAGTCCCACATCGGGCTCCCAGCTCAGCAGGGAGTCAGCTTCTCCCTCTCCCTCTGCCTCTCCCCCTGCTCATGCTCTCTCTCTGTATCTCTGTGTCTCAATGAATAAATAAAATCTTAAAAATAAATAATAAAGGGCGCCTGGGTGGCTCAGTTGGTTAAGCGACTGCCTTTGGCTCAGGTCATGATCCTGGAGTCCCGGGATCGAGTCCCACATCTGGCTCCCTGCTCAGCAGGGAGTCTGCTTCTCCCTCTCCCTCTGCCTGCCTCTCTGCCTACTTGTGCTGTCTCTCTCTATCTCTGTCAAATAAATAAATAAAATCTTTTAAAAAAAAAAAAGGTCAATTAGGGGTGCCTGGGTGGTTCAGTTGGTTAAGCATCCAACTCTCGGTTTTGGCTCAGGTCGTGATCTCATGGGTCGTGAAATTGAGCCCCGCAACAGGCCCCACGCTCAGCAGGGAGTTTGCTTGAGATTCTCTCTCTTCTTCTCCCTCTGCCTCTGCTCCTCCCCTCCCCATGCTCTCACTCTCTCTCTCAAATAATAAATAAATAAATCTTAAAAAACAATTTTTCTTAAGTCCATTAAATAGCTTAGTATCCCACAGGATTTGACTCCAGATCAGGCTCCACCAAAATGCTTGCTCCTGACCACTGAGTGACACTGCATCCCTCACCCCTCACAAGGGCCGGCATTAAAGGGTGGCCTGTTGTTTGTTGCCCCTCAGGAAGTGTATGTTGGAAAGGAGACGATGTGCACCGTGGACGGTCTTCACTTCAACAGCACATACAACGCTCGCATCAAGGCCTTCAACAAAACAGGAGTGAGCCAGTACAGCAAGACCCTGGTCCTCCAAACGTCTGAGGGTAAGGCCCTTCAGCAGTATCCCTCCGAGCGAGAACTGCGAGGCATCTAAAGTGGCTGGCAAGCCCGGAGGTAACCCCACCACTGCCCACATTCTGAAGTGTTTCCATGACTTGCTCTGCATTCTGGCACAATGCCGCTGTTCCTCTCCTGCCGTTAGAGAGCCCATGGTATGTGGATGTGATCAAACCAAAGAGTCCACAGCAGCAGTTCAAATGGCCTGGGGCGTCGGCTTCCTTTGATAACACTCTAAATAAGCTGCAGTTGAAGAAGCTGAAAAAATGAAGGCCCGAATGTCCCCCCGGTGTGTGAAACAAATGTATCTAGGCTCTAGGGCAGGCTCCCTTTCTCCACGACACACATCACTTGCCAATTTTACCCAGGTGATTCTAAATTGCTCTGTAGTGCTTGCCTGTTTCTGAGGGTGGGGCCGAGGTTGTTTCCAGCTGTGGATTTGTGGGACTGAACATGTTTCCGAGGGGTGTGGGGTGCTAGAGCTGTTCAGAGAGGGCCTGTCGGCCACTCCTGGCTTACCCAGCGCGGACCGCTTCCATCTCACGGCCAAAGCCGAGGCCGGCGGCACCAGGACTGAGGCTTCCTGTGGGCACCAAACAGGAAATGACCAGCAACTCCGCATTACCTCGCCATTTTCACCTTTGCCTGTCCCTCTAGGCTGGGTTAGGCCACCAAGGGCCCCTGTACAAGGTCAAGCCCCAGAGAACTTTCACTTCTTGGCCATACTGTACATATTTTGGTCATCAGAGTCAAGCCATTCCTCTCGGAAGAGGGGCTTGCCTTTGATGACCAGATATAACCTCTGAGGATTTTTACATTTTCCTTTTAAAAGCAATTACAGCACATGAAATTAAACCTATGAAGAGGTGATTGTGGTCGGTGCCAGAGCATTTTCAGACCTTCTGGGTGTCATTTTAATCATAGAAGTCACCCCCACTGGCATTCCCCATAACTTCCCTCTGCAGAACCAAGTGTGTTGATTTTGTTCAAATTCAAGATGTTAGCTCAAAGAACTGTGGTGGTGTTTTGTTCCCACTTCCCACAAACCTTGGCATGCGCCAATCACCCTTTAAATGGTTCACATGGTTAAAAACAAGCACAACTTCAAATCCCACAGCAAGGTTGACAGGCCCCTAGCCGTAAAAACCGTGCTTGGGGAGCAGTGGTAAGTCTGTGAGGGATGCTATTCAAAGAGAAGGATTCGCAGAAGGAAACATGCCCGCACGACCTATTTCCCATCGGGTTATAGGGATGCGGTAGCTACAGCCTGCCGAATGACCCCTTTAGCAACTTCCCTCTGGGATGACCTCTCTGCTTGAGAGCAGTTGCCTCTTTTCCCGAGTCCCATGCTAAACGCTAAAGCCCTCCAAGAGTTGCCCACATGCCATGCAGAAGGCCCTTCATGAGGATGGCCTCGCTTCCCACGTGCGTACCAGGCGGTTTGATTGAAGAGTGAAGTGCATGCCGTCAGAGCAGGGAGACAGTTTGCAGCAATGTTGCTAATATGTATCATGAGACCTACTATTTCTATTCATAATATATCATGGAAATCATATTCTTCCGCTAAAATCAGTTACTAGCATAGCAGCTTGAGCATTCATGTTTCTCTTTTCATCCTGCAGGAGGATGTAGTTTCTCAGTTTCTCTCACTGTTCATAAGATTATGGTGTCTAATAAATTACAGGATTGGAACTGCGATCCCTGGTACCACAGTCACAGAACTGGGGGTCATTTTCTAAACGAAACTAACGGAACAAGTCCTCTTCCAACAAAGAAACTGTACTGTAGAAATTAATTTCCTCCATGAATTTTATATATTGTGTACAAATATAAGGTATGTATCTAAATACAAAGAAAACCTTATCATCGTGTAGATATATCAGTATTCTCTGTTACTGCACAGAAGTGATTTTCTCATGATGAAATAAAGTTCACACACATACTTTCTCCATAACTTTGGTTTGTTCTATTTGTTCCTCCCTCATTCTAACACATTCACATGGTGAGACAAGGTTTAGAAAGCAAGAAAAAATATATAATGAATAGCTAATTAAAAAAAAAGATTTGATCAATCTTGTAACAATAGAGAAAGCCTATAGAATTAAAAAATTATATTTTTTTTTTGTTTTTTTAGAAATCAGTGAGAAAAATGCCACTGACAGGGTTTAATACATTAACTGAACTTATATAATACTCTATTAATCTTCCTTCCTACAGTTCCTGGAAAGGTTTGCTCTGGAAGTTTGTTTTCTTTGCTGCTCTTGGGGATGGCGTGGCGGTTCATTTCGGCTTTTCTACTGTAACAAGATGTTTTGCGGTCTTCTTAGCAACGGCTAACCCTTTCCCAAAGTTCGAAACAAATGTCTGTATTACAGAAGGGTCCAATTCATACGTGATAGCAAGTCTCACTTGTATGTATATGCATTTAGTCCGAGATTTAAACCACTTGTCACTTATATTCTTTGAATGATCATAAAACCATCTGCTGACTTAAAGGTGACATTATGCAGGGAAGATCAGATGTCCACGTTGTTATAAACGCTGATCATTTTTTCCAGAAGCAGTTCTGTTTGTTTATCTACTTACTGGGCCGTGTTTGGTAAAGGCTCACTGTGTGCTACACCGTGGGTGGAGAGGGGTGAGCCGATGTCCCCCTGCTTGGATGAGCTCACAGTCTAGGAAGAGAGACAGGCCTTAATAGACACACAACTAGTTACATATTTTCAAGTTATTATTACCACTGTGAAGGAAGGAAAGGAGACTAGCAGGAAGACATAATTTGTATCTGGGAATCAGTCAGGGAAACAATGAAAAATAATTTAATTCAATGGAAATTATAAAGAATGTGTTATTAAAAGGGAAAAGGAAAGGAAAATGCATTATCAGATGAGTTCAAGTGTGATTAGTTCCCCGAAAGCAGAGTTCTTGGGAATGTACCTAAGACAGCCATGCACATAAAGCCAGTTGCCGATGTCAACCAAATTACCCTAACTTAAGAAGAAATATAACTGTAAGCAATTAAGAATCTTAATGAAATTTTAAAATGAGGCCCACAACCCCAGTTGTATATAGTTTTAAAGTAATCCATTTAATAGCCATCATGGCTGTGTCACAAGTCTTTAAAACCATCTGCAGAAGAATATCCATTATGTAACAAGGCCTTCTTCCCACATAGTTCTGGAGCTTATTCTGTCTGGAGACTCTACTCCTGAAAGAGAATTTTTTTTTTAAGATGAAGCTGAGAACATGGGGCGCCTGGGTGGCTCAGTTGGTTGGGCGACTGCCTTCGGCTCAGGTCATGATCCTGGAGTCCCGGGATCGAGTCCCGCATCGGGCTCTCTGCTCGGCAGGGAGTCTGCTTCTCCCTCTGACCCTCCTCCCTCTCATGCTCTCTGTCTCTCATTCTCTCTCTCAAATAAATAAATAAAATCTTAAAAAAAAAAAAAAAGATGAAGCTGAGAACAGAATAGGAAATTTTCCTATTTATTTTTCCCTATTTTCCCTCTACCTATCTAAACAGACTTACCTTTTTCTTTTTCTTTAATCTGGAGAGAAAATGAAATAGACCAAAGGTAACATTCCTGGGGCTCAAATAACTCACTATGACTATTAGCTGGCTGAAAAGAGAGGGTTTCTCTCTGATCCCCCTCTCAGGGAGGGGAATGGCTTCACACAATCTTAGCAGAGATGGGAGTCCTTCAGGGGAGTGAGAACATGAAGAGTGGCACCTTTGAGTTTTTCAGTACTCTCCCACACAAATCTTTGTTATCTTCCTTGGACAAATTCTTAGAATTGGAATTACCAGACCAAGAAGCATGAACACTTTTAAGGCCCTTGATCTGTGTTTCTCAATTGCTTTCCAGATAGATTTTATACCAGAAATGTATGAATCATTCCATTTTTTAAAATCATCTTAATTCTGCTATTTAGAGTTTAATTTTGACTAACAAGCAGCCCCCCTAAAAGTAAAAGTGTCCCTAAAACAGGGCTTTTTTTTTTTTAATTTTATTTATTTTTTAGAGAGCGAGCGAGAGAGAAACAGCATGAGAGGGGAGAGGGTCAGAGGGAGAAGCAGGCTCCCCACTGAGCCGGGAGCCTGATGTGGGACTCCATCCCAGAACCCTGGGATCATGACCTGAGCCGAAGGCAGACGCTTAACCATCTGAGCCACCCAGGCGCCCAAACAGGGCTTTTTAAGTTTATATTTTCATAGTAATCATATTCTGATTGCTTTACATCTAATAGCTACATGTAATAAGTTACAACATATTGCAGGGAAAATGAATATGATCCAAAAAGGAGGGAAGACTTCCCAGAGTATAGAGAGACAGACGGACGGACAGACAGAAACCCAAACACAAGGAATAACTGTATGCAAGGCAAAAACTTCAAAATCGGCCTTGAGCTGACTATGATAACGAAACCTCATTCATTTAAAAACATTAACTGATCACCTCAGTTGTGTCAGGCACCGTGCTGGGCCCAGGATCATGAAGATAATGAGGCATGGCCCCTGCCCTAGAGCTTATGGGCTCCACTCCTCCTCCTTCTTGAACTCCATGGCACCTGACTCAGAGCACCTAAAAACTATGGTACCTCACCTCTCTAGAACTAAGATATCCACCCTGCAATCTAGATAGTCATCTTACAATCAAGAAGTGACAATGACCTCTGACTGGCAAAAAAAAAAAAAAAAAAAAAAGAAGACAAAGTTCAGGTGTAGACACTCCTGTGCTGTCCTTACAGCAGGCCCTCTGATCTCCCTCAGTTCTTGCTTATTCTTACTATATGCATGAGTCCACTGAGCTCATGACCCACTTGGGAAGACCACAGCAGACTAGGAACATCACATTAGAAGAGAGAAGAGAGACTGGTGAGCAGGGAAGGTAACTAGGAAAACTGAGAACAGAACCCCCCCACACACTAAAAAGTCAAAAGATAGCGTTGTGTGCGGCTTGTGTTCTGATTAAGACCTTGTGTTCTGATTAAGAAAGAAAGCATACAATGAATTGTAAAAATATTTCCATCTAACATTTAGAAGTCAGTATATTACCTGGAACCCTTGGTAATGGGTATTAGGTATATCTCAGAAGGCTTTATGGAATCACAATACAAAATACAGTCAGAAAACTATTGCAATAAACTCGGTCTCATTTTGTGTCAAGCTTCTAAGAACTTTCTTCGTTGTCCACTAAAAGATTCCATGAAAAATGACAGCCAGCAAATATTTTTAAGGATACTGAAATCCAGTAGAAGAACTGTATAAAAACTATCCATTCTATGTTTCACCATAAGGTCCTAAAGAAAAACCAGGAATTTTTTCTGTTCACCCTAAAACAGCTATAAAGACTTTAGACTATACCTCTGTGCCCACGGCTAATGCAGTTGCTATTCAGTTGCTGCAATATTCCAGATTTACCCTGTGTATTAATTTCCTTTCGCTGCTATAACAAATTACTACAAACTCAGTAGCTTAAAACAACCCAAATGGATCACCTTACAGTTCTGGAGGTCAGAATCCTAAATGCATTTCACTAGGCAAACAGTGAGGTATCAGCAAGGCTGCATTCCTTCAGGTAGTTCTAGAGGTGAATCTGTTCTCTTTCCTTTTGCAGCTTCTAGAAGCCACCTGTATTGTTGGCTCACGACCCCTTCCTCCATCTGCAAAGCTAGCAATGTAGTGTCTTCCAATCTCTTTCTGACTCTGGGCCTCCTGGTTCCCTTTTATAGGGACGCTTGTAATTACCTTAGGCCCATCTGGATAATCTCTCCAACTCAAAATCCTTACCCTATTACATTTGCAAAGCTTCTTTTGCCATGTAATGTAACAAATTCCAAGGATTATAGGACATGGACATTTTGG